GGAATGCCTTTTTGAGAGTTGTGTGGCATTTACCCATATGCTTATACAAGAGTCTGCAGTTGACACTGAAGAATTTCTAGTAGATTTCTATCATTCACATATTAGTAGAATCTAAATAAGTATGTTATTCTATATTGCATTTAATGGGAACGTTATTTTTAAAAGGAGCAATACATCAGAGGAAATTCACTATTTATTTTGCTTTTAGGTAAAATGATCCATTCTATGGTTGCTCACTTGGATGCTGTCACAAGCCTAGCTGTAGATCCTAATGGAATCTATTTAATGTCTGGAAGTAAGCGGTTTTTTTTTAATCTTCTGTATGCTCTATAAATTTTATGTTTGTGATGCACTTAAGTGTCTGGCAAATCTAACTTTGTCTTTTGTCTTTTTTTTTTTCCTAAACAGGCCATGATTGTTCCATTAGGTTATGGAATTTGGACAGCAAGACATGTGTGCAAGAAATAACAGCTCATAGGAAAAAGCTGGATGAATCAATTTATGATGTAGCATTTCATCCGTCAAAAGCATATATTGCCAGTGCAGGAGCTGATGCCCTTGCCAAAGTATTTGTGTGACATAGCAGACCAAACCTGCGTCATAACAGCAGGTCTGTTTGGACAAAAAAGAGGGAATGCGTCACTGCCATCAATGATAAGGTTACCAATAAGACACTACATCTGATCTGCCTGGGTTGAAGGCTCTTATGTGGGGCAGGTGTAAGTTGGTGAAAAGTCACCACATCTTGAACAATGTCAGGCTCATTCATTTAACTGTAATTACTGTATTTGGGGGGTGGGGACAAATACAAAAAAGAAAACCAGTATTTGTAGCCTTGACTGGATATGAACTGAGCGTATGTCTGTTCTTTAGGTGTCTTTAAGCAAACGTGGAGTCTGATCTTACAAAAGACTTTTATTTTGGACTCTGTGTGCTGCCTTAGGGTTAGGAATGTGGTGCTCTTGTGGGGGGAAGTGAGCTCCAAGAGTAGCTTTCTTTTCATCTCTTAGTAATCTTCTGTTTATCAGTTGAATGCCACAGATTCCCCTTTTAAACTTTTATTTTGCTTTAAAGAAAAGGAAATTTAACTTAAAATATTTTAGCATTAGTTGCACAAAATGTTTGGATAAAATTCTAGTTTTTATAAGTCTTTTTATATATTTAGCCTGTCACAACAGTGCTCAAGATTGTATTGATAATGTTTTTCTGCATTATAGAACCCTAAAACACAGAGATCTCACTGACCCGCTGCCGTGTAACCACACTCTTCCCTTCTTTTGCCTAATACAGCTCAGCTAAGTCCTTGCATAAGGATGCTAATTCATCATCATCGCATAACTGTCTTCATAAATAAAGGACTGTAAAACGTGTTCAGATGAAACACAGAGGGGTTAACGCCCCCGAATGAACTCTTTAAAAAAAAAAAAAAAAATTAATCTTGGCATCCTATCACTATGTGATATTTTGTACATCTTACTGTATTTACGAGTTTATTTATCAAGGATTACTCATCTTGCTAATGGCCTATTGTTATTTATTTCACTTTTTGTTGGTCTTTATATCCTTTTATGTAGCGTGTTAAAGGGCCCTGTATATCTATTATGGCAGTCTTTGAACAGTCTAAAATAGATGAGAAAATGGGACATTTGATAATTCTAAAGTTGCAAACCAAGAATTTCTTTTTCTGCTGGTTAAGTACCTGGAGTGGAGTTGATTCCAAAAAACAATATTGTTTCAGAACTTTGGGAGTGAAAAATATTTTTATTTGCGTTTCAAATAGAGTACAAAAGTAGTTGATTCAAGATTCATAAATCTGCTGTGTTTTGACTAGTTATTCCCTGCTTTTATTTTATTTTCAGATGTGCTTCAGTTTATGGTGTAACTAAAGATTTTGTTTGTGTAATGCATGATTAATACAATAAAGTATTTTTTCTAGTCTTCCACAAAACTTTTCTGATCAGTTTGCGAGTTTTGATGAGTTTTGTAAGGTTTCTGTTTTACAAACTATGAATCAGCAAATTTTTAAGATTGTACCACATAGCAAAAGTACAGCTGTTGAAAAATAATGTATATAAAATGCATATAATAAATATTAAATGGTGTACCTGTATGTTACTGTTGGCTACATTATTTTGTGTTGCACAGTTTGAAAGTGTAATTCTACAAATTACTGAATTACGTCTAAATTTTAGCAAAATGACCATTTGTCTATTATGCTTATAAGCTGCTTTGGTTTTGGAAAATTGTAATAGTTGTCTGATGTCAACCAACTGTTCAGTTTCAGGCAGCAGTACCCACATATAAGAACATGTTTCCACAATGTTTTTATAAGATTTTTTTTTACAAGAACAAATTGAAAATTGCTAGTGTATTCTTAGAGACTTTATAAGATTATAATCACACTGGTTTTCACTGTCTCTGCATATGAAGTGATTCTTGAGTGATTTAGGAGCTGGAAAGATACTCTGTTTTTATTTCAAACTGCCAACACAATTGTGTTGAACTAAAAACTATTTTTTTCAATAAAAATTCTTAAAATTTGCCCATATGTCAATTTCTTTACAAGTCTTCCAGTAAAGATGATGCGCAAAAGGACAATCTTTTTGCAAACAGATAAGCTGCAGGTCAACACTTAGCTACTCTGTGGTGAGTCACCTTCCTGAAAGTGGAAGCAGAAACAGAATACCACAATATGAATCTTAGATTTTCATGTAAAAGTCCTGTCTCTAGGTATAAATTATGTTAAGCTGGAACATGTTCCTGTAAGTGGTTATAACTGTATTGTTCCATGTAAGTTTCCAGTTTTGCAGTGAGGATGTATCTCATGCCATCTCATGTCAAGCAAATTAGATTTAAAAAAAAAAAAAGGGGAAAAAGAGGTGCTCATGGTAGGCAGAATATGGCAGTTATATTCTGAAATTAATCTTGTTTTAGTAATAATGTTACATTGCTTGAAATGTTACACTAAATTATAATTGTACAGAAATCAGAGAATTTTGTCCTTTATCATGAAGATTGAGGTGAGGCCTTTCAGTAACTGCTTGTAGGACACTAAGACTTTCCTTTTGAAAGTTAACATCCAGCTGATTTGCACTTTTTGTTCCTTCCAGTCTAAAGCATTCAACTAATCAACAGACAAGAGAGTATTTGAATTTTATTGGAAGTAATTTCATAATCGCCTTTTCTGAAGCCAAACATTGTTTCTGGCAGATTTTCCAGACTGCTGCATTTTAATGCTTAAATGAAATGTGATTGTTTAATAAACATTGCCATGCATAACATTTACTTTTTTTTTTAAATTGTATTAAAATTGAAATGGTAAAACCAAAAATATTTGCTTATTTTACTTAATTGAAATCTTAACGGTCATCTTACTTCACTAATGCATAGTGGATTAAGTGCTGTAGCGAGGCTTCATTTATTGAATATTGACAATCTCTAATACAGTCTGAGTTTATTTATTGTGAGGTATAACATGCTAAAACCTTTATTTGTTTTTTGGTTTTTAGAACACAAGAGCTGTAGTACTGGTGATGGGGGAAAAAATTATAGTGCCAAAATAAATGTTTTCATTTAGCAAAAACAACTTATGAAAGGACTGATTTACTTCACTCTTTAGTAAGACGCAAAGGACTTGCACTCAGAACCTGGATGGAAAGATACCTAAATGTGTTTTAATACATTTAGCATTTAGGGTATGATTGATGTAACAGACTTACTCCCCATTTTGCTTTTTATCATAGGAACTGTTTTAAGGAGATGAGTGGTGACTGTAGTCCAGCATCTTGTCTACATAAATATCAAATACAGCTGAAAAGGAGTGTAACAAGCCCTGATCAAGAACCTTCCCTAATTTCAGAAATCCTAAGGAAGAATTTATTTGCCAGGAAATAATTGGTAGATTTTCCTACTGGAAAAACTGAGGGCTTGAAGGATACATTATCAGAGGCTGTCCATTTCTTCTATTGATTTAATTAATTTATTTGAAAACTGATAGCACTCCGTCCTGGCATACTCTTATTGTTATGTGCTTCCCTAGCACTTCCCACCTCAAATCAGTGGAAACACAGTGCTGACTGCTCTTCCCTCTAGCTACCATATTACACAAAAGGTCTCTCTAACATGCATCCCAGCTGAGCAATGGTGTTTTTACAGGGAGGCTAAACACACAGATAAGATGATGTACATAAATCCTGCTGGGAAAATGAGTGTAACTTTTTTTTTCCTCCCAGATAAGGTACATGGTATGAAACTTATGACTGACATTACCTTTTAGTTGTGTTTGGCTTCACTACTCTGTGTGTATATATACATGTTTGTATGTTCTTTTTTAAGAATTAAAAAAAAAAAAAAAACACAAACAAACAAAAACTGAAGGCTCCAGAATTGATCTTAAGTGCTACATCTGAGGTAAGCATGAATGAAGGTTTACACTCCATGTTTAATACTTGCTCTGATACTTGGAGAATACACATCCTTGAGTCCTATGCAAACTAAATGGCTTATATGAATAGATTTTAAAAAATAAATAGTTCAAGCTACAAAATGTTATAAATGTCATAAAAATACATTGCTTTGTTTTCTAGTTTTAACACAGAACCAAATTTTGACTGACTTGATAATGGAAAACAACATGCTTTCTTTTTAGTCCTCTCTCGTACCCGGATATCTTAACGGCCCCCCCCCAGAGAGTTTGTCTAGACTTTCTGAAAGTGTATGTATAGCAACAAAATAATTCTATTTAGAATAGTTACACAGTTTAAGGAACTGTGGTGAGATCCCTAGTAATGAAAAGGAGGCAATGTGAGGTAGCCGAGTTCGTAAGTTTTCAAGAATCACTGAAACATCTGACTTCAGTGCTGTAAAAGTCTCTGCTGAAGGCAGTAAACTGAAAGTTGTTGATGTGTACTTCAGCTATGGTTTAATTTCTTTAGATGCACATCAAACTGAACAGGTGTCAGTGAGGCATGGGTTTTTTGGGATCTAGAACCTTATTAGGAGATCTTTAATTTTCTAATTACTAATTCCCATACATCTTGAATTTAGCATTGATAATATTTTCTCTTGGAAGGTCATGTCCAGCATTCTGGCTGATTTGGTCTAGCTTTCCTGAGGCAAACAGGAAGAGGAGGCCAACAGTTGGCCAACACTTAGCCATTCTAGCACACCAAGAGCATCTAGGAGCAGTGCTAGGGTATTTAATCTGGCAGCGGAGTTCTTGCTTTGACGATATGTAGTGCTGTAACATTGTCAGAATAACACTAAATGTCTGGCATGCTGTCTTAACTGGAGCAGAGAGAACAAATTCCTACAAGCGTATGGCTCCACTTCATGTTCTCCATCAGGTCCGTAAGCTATTGATGGTTGTTAGCTATTGACCTCTAGCAATAGCAAGTAGCCATTTTAACTGTCTAGTATCTTCATACGCAAACAATGTACACAGTTGTCTTCAGTTACATGGAGAATATCTACAGTGTTGTGTTGCTTAAATCTTAAGTGCTGTGAGACTTTTGATGCTTATTTTAAATTGACTCAAATTAATGGATTTATTACAGAATTGGAAACTTTCTAAACTAAAGGATCGGTGCTGTGAATTTATATATATTTGTAAAATTGAAACTACAGGTAGGATTTAATAGTGATTTTGTATTAGCTGTGGAGGTTAAAGGCTGCCTCTTTGAAATCAAGTGTTATTGGGAGCTGTATCTGGTTTAGCGAAGTTCAAAAGTATTGATATTGCCCCATTCTTTACAAATGCATTAATTCTTTGAAAAGTTATGGCTTTCAAATAAAAATGCTAGCTTAATTGTTATGTGGCTTGTAGAGTTGTTAATTTCTATCACAAAAGATGTGAGGTGAGATTTATAACCTCTTAAGGTGAAGTGGTCCATTCTACTTCAGCAAGTATAGGACATTTGATCCTAAATATTTCACTTGGTGATCAAGGATTATTTGTTTTTGGGATGTCTGACTTGGATATATTGGAGACCCTTTAAGCTGAAGGGAGAATACCACCAACAGGAGGATGATTTGCAGCTATATCCTCAAGTTCCTTTGGAAAAAAAAAAAAAAAAAGATTGGCTATGTGGCAGATTTTTTTTTTTAAAGCAGTTTTCAATGTAACCTGAGGAGGAGCTTTTTGTAGCTGAATGTTTTTGATAACATAAGGATTTTAAATTCTATTCAGTCTTAAGCTAGTGCTAGCTGACTGGCTAACTTCCTTCTCCCGTCTGCTTCTCTCTCTCAACTCTCAGCTTTTCTTGAAAGCTCCAGAGGCTTTGAGAAACGAGTAGCTTGTATAAATGTTAGGTCATGAATCCATGTGTGATCTACAGAAATAGATGTCCATTTGAACCCTTGAGGAGGACTTGATGAGCTCGGTGCGCAGAGGCTTGTGTCCCACTGCTGTGGGTGGGGCGCAGCTGCGGGGCCTCACCTGTTGCTGCCACCTGGAGAAGGCGGAAATGGCTGCTTCTGGACTGGGCACAGCGGGGCCACAGGAGTCCAGCAGCAAGCTGTGAGTAGGTAGGACAGGAGAGACATTGCCCTCCCTGCCTGCAGCCGTTTCGGTGTCCGTGGAGGGGGAGAGCTGCTCATGTTGTCTGCTGTTGGTCACATACACCCTGAGGGGTTTGCTGGGGCTTCTGCCTTGCCTCCACCTGCAGCTTGCCTTGCCGTGTGACAGCTGGGAGCTGTCGCTTCTCTGGCCATCGGCCTGGGGGGATCCTGGTGAACATGGAGGCTGGGCAGGGGGAGCGACCGATGGCGTCTGGGCGCTCCCCAGATGGAGCCTGAGAGCTGCTGAGTGTTTGCTCATGAATGGCGGCTGGCCAAGGGGACATGTTCTTCCCTCATGGAGGAGGGTTGGCCAATGGGGCTGTATGCTATTGGTGACTTTCTGATGACTGGCCTGGTTGGCTTTTTTAAACAGACTTTTTTCCTATTGTTTCAGGTGTCTTTTCCTCTCCAGTTGCTCTTTTGTACCTTGAAATGGGTGAATTTCTGATTGAGTTGTTCTTTAATTAGTATGTGGGGGGGGGTTCTTTCTAAAGAGAAGGCTTTTCTGAGGAAAAAGCTGTTCATTTGATTAGGGGCATCTTTTGCGTCAAAGCTCTTGTGAGACTTATAATTCAGTGGGAATAAAGAGCTCCTGCTTCACACAGGAGGAACGTCTTCCTTCCCTGAACAGCTGGGAGCAAAAAAACCCAAACCCTTCAGCTCCCTTGGGAAAATCCCGGGCGTGCAGCAGGCAGGGCACGGAGGAGGGTGCGGGGCCCTTGCTGCTGCCTCCTGCGTGGGCAGACGGCCCCAGGCCTCTGGGGGAAGCAGCGGCTGGCAGCCATGAATGCTGGTGGCAGAAGCTCTTGCAAGGTCCTGCAGGCACTCCGCGTGCACTGGCAGTGTGTTGAAGTCTGTGTCATGGCCCCCTTTTATGTCTGGTGGACTGGTCGGTAGCCAGAGGTTTCCCCTGGATTGCCTTACCTGAAGTTTTACTGTGTTACGTAGAAATACCGTTGCATCTGCATGAAAGTAAACCTTTTTAA